CCCAAACCATTCTATGATTCTGTGATTCTGGTTTGAAATTGAAACGAGTTCTGGCAAAGACTGAGACAGCGAAATGATGACGTGACTGGGCCCCCAGACAAGTAAATAACCATGAGAATTATTGGAATAATATTTTCTCCCCAACACATAAGCCAGTCTATGCTCTCATTCCGTTGTTGTTGCTTTTAATACATTCAACACAAGCTGCTTCAAGCTATTTAGAACAAAATACAATGTGTGTATATATAGGACACATCAATGAATGGCACACACAGCAGACGTGTGTATTCCCTCTGACATCAACTCTGCCAGCACAAAAGCTAACACACATACAAGAAAAACACTGAGAATCCTTTTCTTTTTTTGGCCAAGTGGGTCTATAGTCAAAACCTGAATTAACATCTTTCCATTTTTCCATCTCAACACTAAAACTAGTTTTTCAACAGCTGCTTCTTCTATAGTATTTATTTTCCAGTCAATTAACTGAAATTCTAGCCTTCATTCTTTCTATCTAGCCTTTACATCAGTTGATTTGTTGGCCATATAGGGATCTGAACAAAGGTCTAACTGTCTCTCTCTCTTTGAAAACAGTATGCAGTGATGAAATCACACATGTGTACAAGGAAAGGTTCTTCTAATCCTAGTGCCTAGGTGTGGTAAGACCGGGTTTTGCCTTGGAAGGTGCCATAATCCTTTGATAAAAGATATTGAAACTTAGCTTTCCAAGGCTAAGATGAGGAATTCTGCTTCCTTGCTCCTTTAAGCTATCCTAACTAATCTTTCTTCAGTAACTAATGCTGAAGAACAATCTGTGGAAAGAAAGTATACTGACAGTAGATTAGTCTAACAGGGTTGCTGAGGACAGTTGTCATTTTTTCCTACTAGTTTCCTACTGTAGTCCCCATGTTTAGTTACTGGCAGAAGTAAAACAAAAACACCACTATGGCCAAAAGAAAATGCAATGCAACTTTCTGCTCTCCTGCAGAGACTATTAATAATCTCTCTCTTTTTTTCCTGCTGTCCTGATTAACAGCATCAATAAAGACAATTTCATTATGTGAGGGGTAAGAGGCTCAGCAAATCATTCAGCTCTTTGCCTGCTCTCTGGAAAATGCTTCCATCGCTCTTCAGTTATTGCTGATATACTCCAATTTAAAAATGCTCCAGAACAGTGTGACCTGGTTGTTTGACTCTACATTGGATACTGCAAGATGCTAAGCTCTTCCTATGCTGAACTCCACATCCTCAGACCCAAACATAAAACAAAATTGATATTCAGCTTTGATAGGAAGCACTTTGCTCCTTAAGAATGAGATCTTTACATACAATTGCTTCAGGGTGCAGAGACACATCCACCACGGTCAGTGATTTCCTGGTTGGTATGAGAGTCAGCCACATGATACCATGCTCTTCCACGCATTATTTGTGAGCCCTGTGTTAAGGGGGAAGCAGGCACTCTCACCTACTAAAGCCTAAATGTCACAGTCAGCCTTTATAAGAGCAGCTATAATTGGACTAATGTCTACGTTCACACTCTAGAGTGAATTCCTTTCCTCATACAGAAAATGTTCAGATACCTGGTCACAGCTGTTGTAACGTCATCATCACTGTTTTGCACCAAAACCCAGAAGAGCTGATTCAGGACTACAGGAAGAAAATTCAAAATTACATGGATCTTCTCAATCCTCAGCAAATTCTGTAATGGACAAAAGAAAGAAAATGAGAGATTTACAATACGAGCAATGAAAAATGATTACTCGCTTTCCTGCTTCAGCAGGTAAAATGTAGTGCAGCCATTAGTGTACTAGCAGTAGGGAAATGGGACAAACAAGTAGAGGATCCCCATGGAGTTTCTTTTAAATACGACCATCAACTCAACTGTAGGTATTGTCCAAATTTCAGAATTCCACTATTTTGCTCTACCTTGACTTAAGGGGAAAGAAAAAAAAGAAAAAAAAGAAAGACAAAAGAGAGAAAAGAGAGACACTGAACCAGATTTTCATATTTCACTAAGGATATGTATGTAAAAGGAATAAAGAACTTTATTGCCATTTTCAAAACATATATTTCCTAATATTTTTATGAAAACTCATTCTTTTTATGCAGAAATCCGACAAAATGAATTTGTCAGTGCTAAAATACTTATGTTAAAAGCACATTGGTAAAAAGTAGTATAAAAACTCCAACCTGACTGGACTGACATAATATTATCTGATCAAGAAGTATATTGAGCTTTTCATGAAAAAAACCTCCACTGAATTTCTCCTAGTTTTTAATTTCAGTAATTTCCAAACCATTCCAGAATTTCTTCAAAGGTATTAGTGATTTATAATTAAAGCAAAACACTATGGGGAAAATTATTTATCCCCTGGCTATATTGCATAGTTGATCCCTTGTCATGTAAAACATTGTCTCTATTTTCTAATAAAATTTTTGAAATATTTTTAAAAGGTAAACTACAAACAGCAAATAAACAACAGTGCAATTCTAGTAGTTTAGGTAACTGACTTATTGTCTAGGAAGTTGTGAAGCTTTTATGGATTCCTGAACTTTGTCCAATATGCTCAATGGCTTCCCAAAAATTAATAGTTAAGGACTTCATTCTGTAGAGGTATAACCTCTAAATAACAATGATCCTTTAATTTTTGAAAACATCCTTTAATAATTTCTTTACATCCAGACAGTATTTAAAAACAAAGCAAGCCTTTTCAGGTCTACCTGCATTTATCAACAAAAGTAGCAGTCACTTTTAGGGACTTGCCCAGAGAACTGATACAAGTCATTGGAACTTACTGTTTGCTTATTAAAGCAAAAATATCTTCCCAAGCAGCTTTATATAATCTGATTAAGGTACACTCGAATAGGAAAACATTGACAACGAAGGAAAGGGGAAAAGCACCTACAAGATGGCAACATCTAAACCCCAAAACACCTATGAGATTTTACAGAATGCTAGGAGGAAAAATAATAAGTACATCATACATATGATGTTTTAGAGCTAGCACTGTGGAACAGTGTCACAGCTACCCATCAGTCTTCTTGCTTATCTTCCTGTTAAAGTTCAGTAAGTAGATTGCAAAGCGAGCACTCTGAATTTCACCATTCACGAACATGGAAGGAATCATGACACTTACCTGCTCTTCTAACGGTCCTTTCTCACAGCTTTTGACCTTTACTGAATACAGTCACATTTCATGCAGTTCTTGTTTGTTTGTTTCTGCAGAAAGGGTATGCTCTTTCTGATTTCATAACTTGACAGGCAACAAGCACCCCTGACTCATACATGCAAAATGCCCTAAACAGCCCTTTGGATAGCATCTAGGTTTTTAGAGTGAAAGTATGAAGAACAAATAGGAGATAAGCAAGGCAAGAGAGGACTAGCAGGAATACTGCACCTCTGCAGGCTACAGCTCCTTTTCCCAGATGTTCCTAGAGCAACAGAGCAACATTACACCCTCTTGTAACACGATTCGAGGCTCAGTAATAGGCTGGGTTATCAAAGTTGATGGGGAAGACGCAGCCACGCTTTAAACAAGAAGGGATGGGAGACAGCTCTGTGACCAGTAATGCATCTGTCACATCAAGTAAGCCAAACTGGAGTTGTCATGGACCCACTGCCTCTTGGTAAGTTTATGTCATGGTTAGAATTCTGCAGTGATGGATCAGTTGAGATAAAGCCACTATATATATATATATATATATGCGATATACAAATTTATAGCACACTTTGTGCTGCAGGTTACTGTACCTTACAAGAATTGATAAAATTTGAGGTAGGAGGCTGGGATAGATCCTTTTCCCTTTCTTGGCACTGACGGAAGAAGTTATTCAGGTATGGATCCTAAAATGATAAACATCCACATTAATGTATTACTATGGAAAGGATTAGAATTCAGCTCCATAAATTGGTTACAGCAATCACCTGTGATACCGAAGAACACACTTGGTCCCTGCCCCTTAGACATAACACACAGAAAGACAGATCAACGTACTTGGCCCAACCCACTGGCCAGCACAGCTTGCTATATGCGACTTATTTCTAGGTAGTCTGATGACTCTTTTTTCAGTGTTGTGAGCAATTAATTTTCCCCTCACAATCTAAGGGATTTCAATGGCCAGATTTTTTTATTTCTTCCTGGTGCTCATAATTTATTTTCTTGCTGTTTAAATTGATATTCCATGCTTTTTCTGCTGGTATGTTCTTAAATAATTTATATTTTTCTTTAAAGTTTGTATTCCATCGTTGTCATCTTGCCCTTATACATTCAAATAACCTTTAAATGTTAGAGAAACAAACTCATACAAGATTTTAAAATATCTTTCAGTCATTCCTTGACACTTTTTGTTTGTAAGCAGGTAACAGAGCTAAGAGGAAATTCAGCTTACCTGAGTATTTACTGTCGATACCACAAAAGTAGAGACTTTGAAAAGTGGTTTCCCATTATCTACCCATTTCACTTCACAGCTGATCTGCTATTAAAACAAAAACAAAATTTCCAACTTATTTCCTACTTATTCAAGCCTGCATCAAATTTTCACTGTGTAGCTTTGCACACACACATGCACGAACAGTGCTGGCTACTGTGCTTTCATAACCACAGAATTATTGCAATATAAACCCACTTTTCAGCACAAGCCCACAAACGTCATTCAAGGGACCAGATCACTGCCCCACCCCGTCCTCATGACAATAATAAAACAAACACAAGGAGGCAGAAATAATCCAGACTGGACAGGATCAGTGGGAAAACATGATATCACACCACAAAACTGGAGCATGAATCATGATTGTGGATCACGTCAGCTGGAGAATGAATGTCATATGCCCCGAGTTTGTGAAAAGAGTTCTTTTTGAGCACTCCCATTCAAGTTTTGGAAAAGTTAGGTGTAACTTTGTAGAATACACAGTTATAAAATACACTTTTTCCATATACACCTGCAAATCAGCAACATATGACTCTCAGTCTGGTAGTACATATATTAATTTATATACTTAATGATATGCACATGAATATTCTAAAACAGATACCCTATTTATTGTTTACACTTCCAGGTAAGTGCAAATGCAAATCTGATCTCATGTGAAACATCTGTAAATAAATGCTCTGTGCTATTTGAATAATAGGAAAGTATGAATTAATACCTTTCCGCTAGTTGGTTCTTGAAGGCTCAAGTAACTGGGAGGCAGACTGCTTGCCACTGGCACGTTGTGTTCTTGGGAAGCTAATTGGGCATCTTTCAACAGAGGAAGCCATGCATATCCCACTGTGCACATGAACAAATCAATATGACTCTTTGGAAAAACAAGCTTCTCGAGTACAAAGGAAGACAATAATATCCAGCCAGAAATTCTGCAATCCTTATTTGAACGTATATCACTTATATTTATAATTGAAAGTAATTCTACTACAGGTACCTGGTGTTTCCAGAGCCTCTTTCTTTTTGGCATTAGCTTTTGCATTTATGTCACAGGTGACATGATAAAATGAAAACAGAATGTGGTGTTTCTTATGGAGTTGAGTGGGAAGTTCAATTTTCACCTGAAATGTAAAATGTTACACCTCACTTTAGTTTAAAAATCAATGAAACCACGCATCAGAGATGGTCTAAATGAGTGACATCTCTCTCTACAACAGAGGTCTAAGTACAGCCTGCCTTTACTGGCTAATGGTTGTCTGCATGGGTAATAGATGCCCTCTTAAGGAAACTGTTTAGGATGACCATCCATCACTTTTACTTGAAACAGCTTTTTTCCCCCCCTCTCTGTCTTGCAGATGAGTATTTGCATTTATGATAGTGTAATTTGAAAGAAGACAGAACCAAAGAGTGATGGACCCTGCTTAGAAGTGATCACCTGCACTCTAGCAGCCATAGTTATCACCATTCTTACATTTTCAGGATGACCAAATCAAAAACTAAAATGGCATCTCTGCTACTGCTTCATCATCATTTTGTGGCAAAGACCAAATAATAAAGGTGGACATGAAAATAAACTTTTATTTACGATTTCTGCTCAGCCTTAAATCCCATATAATGTCATCCATGAATCCCTACAGATTGGGTTTGAGGTATTATTAACCTATTGGAATAAAAATACAAAGTAATCAAAACATGTTACCATAGGAACTGATAAAACAGACCCCTTGCCCTCGTGAGCTACAATGAAGTTTATCCAAGCTAATCCTATGCTTAAGATAAGGTTTAGAAATTGCTAATAAATGCCTCCAGTTTAAATCAACTTATGGGTAAGAATCTAATACCATAACTGTAGATATGAAGTGGGCATTCAGACATGGAGATTAAGACAGCTTTCTTGATAATACACTACATTCTTTTAAAGACTGCACTTGCTGTACTAGGAACGTTTAGGACAGGTGCACAACTCTGCCAGCCAAATTAGATATTAAAATCTGAATTAAACTCTTTGTTCAAGCTGAAAGTAATCTGCCCAAACCAGATGGCTCACTAGCATCACATGAAGAACACTTTCAGATGCGTTCAAACCCAAACACTGCTCACAAAGGTAGATCTCTGAAGAGGTAATGTTTTAAGTTCCACCTCAGTTCCTAAACATGAATCTTAAAATTTATACTTCATATGTAGTTGTAAATTATCTGCCAGTCTTGCCCCTGCTATTTTATCAAAGTAAATTTTAACTGAAAAAGGAAGTTTTTCCAAGATCAAGCCAACAGTTTGGAAAACACTGTCTATGTACTAATGCTGTTTGCCAGCCTTATTACTACACATAAAGCAGTAGTGGAAAATCCAGAACAGACACGTGACATTCACAGGCCATCAAACACACTAGTCACTGAAAGGGTGAAATTAGGTTCCCCTGCAGAAAGCCTGGGGAATCAATACTTGGTGTTGGTGAAATGTAGAGATGCACGTGCAACTAACATTTGGCAAAGGCCAAGGTATGAACTCCATTCTGTAGCTGCATGCTCAAAAGCACCAGCTAAATGACTTGCTGAAGCCCCTACATGCCACTGCACATTCTGTTCTGACCACTGGACCAACAAAAATGCCCCAATGTAGATCTTATATCACAGAGAGGGATTTGTTCTGACATTTGACTCCACCCTTCTTCGTAATGTTTACTTTTTCTATTAAATTCAGAGATGCAGCTGGATGCTTAATGTAGTCCAGACATGCATTTTAGACAGCTAGACTGTTCCTAATTAATTCTACAGCTTCTTAACTGTACTTAGAACATCTTACAAAACAAAGGATTCACTGAATTGATTTAAGGAAAAAAACCAAAACAAAACATGAGACAGTATGTAAATCTACATAACACAGGCCCATCCAGATACACAGACAATTTTAACAGAAGTATCCTTTACACATACTTTGCTGTTTCATTGGCAAACATGTGGGACTGGCAGACATTTAATGAAAGAAAAAGCAGACTGACCTCATCATAGAAATCAGGATTCTGGGAATGATGTAGTACAGCGGTATAGGCTGCCGTTGTAAATAATGGTCCACCTGGCTTCCCGTAAATGCACTGATAAAAGTAACATGCTTTAATTACATTGTGAAATTCTGCTGATGATACTAGTCTTGGTATATCTAATAATATATGTACTTTGAAAACAGTATCATGAAAGATTGACAATTATTTTGATCAAATATTAGAAGAAATATTTTCAGTGCTCAGACCTGAAATTTTCTATACACACTTTCAGGAAAAGTCCATTGATTCTGTGAAAATTACCCTACACTCAACAAAGCAATGCAGACTCCTTAGACTTCTTCATTGCTGTTATCAATTTCAGTTTTCTGCAAAAAGTTTTACAAAAGCTATTTCACTTTCATGCAGTTCAATACATAATACAATGCTTTTACTGACTTTTCAATGTTACAAAAGCTACACCAGTTAATAATCTCCTTGCTGGCAGAGTCTGGTCTGGAGGCTCTCAATAATTGAGTGATGGCAACTTTATTTATTGGTGGAAAACTACAGTACAACAATACTATGCAATAGCCCTTTGTCAACAGCAAAGTTAAGAATTAAGTCTAAGGTGGTTCTAATTTTGTGCCTCTCTTTTCAAGCAAGTGTCCTGAGCTCAGTGAGAAATGTAGGGTAAATGGTAAATTTTAGAATAAGCAAGTTGCACTGTAAAGAATGTTTAAGTTTTCTAATAGTTTCTTTCCCCTCCAGCAGTCAGAAAGTGGGCACTGCAAAATGGCACTGTGAGCTGGAATCATTTTGACTAGCTGGGATCAAACAGAACCAAGGTGCATATGATTACAGAATCACGGAATGTTTTGAGTTGGAAGGGACCCACAAGTCCAACTCAATGCATGACAACATTCACTCTTTAATTGTTCCAGGTTAGTATAGCCCTGATTCCTGGGTTTTATAAGTAACGTCCTCAGAAACACTGCTCTCTGAATATACTTTTGTTGTGGCTCACCTTCAGTGGCTTCGCTCCTTCTTCATCAGAGCTTTTAAATTCAATGCACACTGTTATATTCCGTGCCTGAAAGGACAGGAATGCATTAAAGCTTAGATCAGGAATGGGATACCCATAAAAACCCAGGCAAATTATAAGCTCTTTTCAAAATCTCAGAGAAATATGTAGATGGTGTATCAACATTTAAAATGCCTTTAAGTCACAGTGATATCACTAGAAATAGTATTTCCAAGAACTGGCAAAATGCAGGCCAGGCCTCAACTTAACTGTGTAGAAACAGATTATAAAGTGACCAGCGCTTACCTGTGTCTGGTCCTTAATTTAATTTTAAATCACCATGAAAACATAAGTAGTACTCAAGTTTCATTTAAGAACTACAAATATTATCCAATTAATTTTATCTGCACACATCATTTCATTAAAATACAGCCCTTCTGAAAATTGTGAAAAAGCTATTACTACATTATCTTTTTTTGAATCTCTGATACAACTTAAAATTAATCCATAGATTCATTTCATTAAAATTGTACCAGTATTTCATGATTGCAAAATTCGAAAAAGATCAAAGGCCAAGTGACTGTTTTCCCCCGCTTTATGATGAGTACTCCTTCATTTCAATGAGAGCTCATGCAGTACTCTACTACCCAGTGCTGACCTGAATTAGTCACATACTGTACCTTGTTAAAGTATTTTTGGCTATCATATTTGAGGTGTTTTGGATATATGTATATTTGGTTCTTATATACTCTGTAAGGTCGAGAATATTTTGTTGATTCCTCTACAAACTCCTCAACTTCCACTGTAGGTTGATGCTCCTTTACGTCATTAAATGGCTTGATTGGAATAAAAGATGAAGTTACACAGTCTTCAAAAGAACAGAAAACAAAACCATCACATATTATGTTTGTTTTTACAGTCTTACTACTAAGAATAAGTAATATTGAGATGGAACAAGTAAAATCCTGCCTTAACTTGCAAAGAATAAGTAATGCTGAGATACAGCAGGTCAAATCTTGCCTTAAATTGCATTCATGTTACCACAGAACAATTACAATATATCATCCTTAAATAGTTTATCTCACTTGAGTTAAACAGCACAGCACTGAAAAACTCTTTTGACACACACCATTTGATGGCATAATGGCACCATCGGTATATGGTCAGTTTCAACAGAATATATTGAAGTGATGCTGTTTCTAATTAATTTTACAGCTCAATATCTCATTTAAGTTTTTCTATTATCTAATAACATAGTAAACAAAATGAAGAAACAAGCAGTGCAGAACTAGATTAAATACATGATGCAATTGGGATAACTGAAATCAGATCAAGAAACAGAAGATGAAAATAAGCACTCTGTCACCCAGACAAGGGGAGATTAAAAATGAATAGAGCATAGTCTGTCTGCCTGTACTATTAAATCAGTGAGACATTTAATTTCAGCATGGAGAACTCCAGGGCTGTTTGCACAAAAGCCACTGAGAAGGGTCCCTATCTTAGGGTTGTCCCAAGCTATTTCTGGGAAAAGCAACTTGAAGTTCCTGCCTATAAATTCATTCCTCAAACTCTAGAGTAACCCACAGGAAAAGCTTACCAATTTGTGGTGAGGAAGCTGAAAGAAGCTGGTGATCCCTTGTATACACTATGTCCAATTTTACTTCCTTCTAAACTAGCACAAGAAGAAATTGCCAAGTTTCAGGATAGTGCAGCTCCTCTGCAGTTCAAGCAGGTGGGGGAGAAGCGGCGTTATGCCAGCTATAGCAGGTGGGTTTCTATTTGCTTTCTGCCTGCTTTTCAAAGGCTCTTCCTGGTAATGAAGGACTTTAGCACTAGCCTAGCACGACCTATTTTGGGTGGGAAGGAGGTGTTATTACAGAACTAGATACTGCTATTACAAGGCTTCCTTCAGAGCTGGCTGAAGTCAAGAAGAGTTTTCAGAGAGATTTTAATGAATCCTACAGCATAGAAGTTCTCTGGTACAGTTTTTTAAATATTTTACAGACTTATTCAGAGTGAGATTAATTTTCCCCATACCAAAGAAATGTTTAAGCTGTTACTCTTCAGATGAGGGAATTTTCATTGACTTTCCACAGGAACTGGGCACTTCACTAGCACATACCCTTTAAAGCCAGACTTTCACTTGGCCACAGTGCACACCAAGTCACGTAACAGTACAAGTCACAAGCTGCTTTGGATCATTTTGCCTACTTTGAGTTTCTTTTAATTTCAAAAATAAAAACTGCTTTTGAAATGTTAGTGAAACTATTTTTTTATCTAATACCACATAAGGATGGTATAAAGATGTGTGATGATAGACTTCAGAGGAATTCAATGGTTCTGAGCTTTTTGCTGAGGGGGACACAGAAATGCAGCCCTTGAAACAGAAAATTTAAGTGACAGAAGGATCCAGTTAGAAGCATCTATCTTAGCAGCTGCTGCACTGATGCCAGAGCAGCTTCTGAATGAAGCCCTCCATCTAGTTTGTATTCTTGAAACCTACTGCATGTCCCATATGTGCTAATTCATATGGCTGCATCACAGCCCATCAACAGTGCAAGGTTATTAACCTCAAGCTACAGAAGTCCACTCAGCAATTTGGCCTAATCCCTTATGAGACCAAAAAGCGGTTGTTGAACTTTCATTACATGTGGATTCACAGCATGTTGTGTTCCATACTGCAGGGGTGCATCTGCACAAAAAGAATGGTGTAATTAAATTAAAACAAATCAAGAACACTTCTCTGTATATATTTTTCTATACAACAATGGACACTTCTACCAGAACTGTCTTAAGATAGTAATTAGGGCTGGAAAGCCTATGACAATGTCCTATTTAATAATAATAATTAATTATAAAGTGGAATCATACTTGGATGTTCCAAAGGAACACAATCAACTGCAATATCCAAACAGCCAGGTATAGTCTGTATTTTGCTAATCTTCTCTGCTCTGCAATGACAGAAATGAAATTTTTTTAGAAAATTAGAACAAGGAAGATGAGATCCATTATAGAAATTAATCTAAAATGAAAAACAGACCCTGATTTAAGACATAAATATATATTAAGCACATTTAACATACATCTATTGGCTATTAAACTCAAATCAGATACAAAAGCAGGAAATAAATGTGTTTTGCTTTGTGTTCTTTCTTGGTCTCATCCCTGCCTTCTCTTTGCAAGCAACGTTATAGCATATTTTGTAGGAGAGGAAGAAACTGATGAACAAAACCTTATGAGAATCAACTTACCCACTTTTTCTTTCTAAAATCTGAATCAAATGTTCTCTAAAAGGAATTAAATGACCACTGAGATGAGAGGATTTGACAGCATCATGGCTTCTGTAACTGCCATGCTGAAAAATGACCAAGACATATTCCTTGTGCCCAAGCAAGTGCCAAAACTGTGATACTAAATTCCATTTATCTAGGAGATGTTTTATACAGACAAACCCAGCAGTGCCAACTCTAATAAAAGTAGTGAGAATTTCAGTAAAGTTTCCTGACCAGTTACAGTAAGGTGGCACAAGAGATTAAGGGTCTGGTCCAGTCCCTGTAGTTGACATTCAATATTTCTATTATCTGATTTTATATAAATGGAACAGGAGAAGTTAATTAGATTAATTCATTTCTAGGCATATTTAGAGTAGAAGGGATAGGAAGAAACCTGTGGTTTAATTCTCATGTCACTTATCCAGTATAAACAAAGACTCTTGCTCTAGGATTAACCTGATTTATACCTGTATGGAAGACTATCCAGCCAAACCGCTATTCACTAATTTACACACTGTCAAACATTTAAAGAAGTTTTTTCCTTCCCATGTCCACTCTCCAGTTTGTCATGGAGACTCAAACAAACAAAAGCAACGAGTAGGGAAACCATTAAAGAATGCTATTTCATTTTCATTTTATTTTATTTTATTTTTAAATTTAATTCCATTTCCCCCCTCCCCACCCCTAGATGATGATCTCTTGTTGGGTTACTGTACCTGCATCTCCCCTGATAGAAGCTAATTTAAGGAATAATTATCTTTAGGTTATAATAACATTCATTAATGTGCCAAATTTCAGGAATAACTATCTTTAGGTTATAATAATGTTTATTAATGTGCCAAATGAAATTTCAGTTTTCCTTGAAAGTCCAACCTAAAGCACTTTTTGGCAGGTAACAGGCTAATGTGAAAAACACTAATTTAATACGGCTACTTTGGCACACTGTATTAAATGAAGAAAAAAAGCTGTGAAAGTTATTCTGCACAGCTTTATGAAGCTTTTATTCCTTCTCAAATCAAATTAAAAACTGTTCCTTACCTTCTGTATTCAGCTATTAGTTTAATCAAATCTTCCATGGAAATTTTATTACTTTCTTGCCTGAATAAAGGTGAGAATCGGGAGTCTCTGTCAACATTTCCCTGATTATCTTTAAACACTGGTCTATAAAGAATTAAAAATGGCATGTTTATAAACACTCACACTCACACATATATATATTTGAACATTTGAAATAGTCATGTATCTTTTAACAAGGCTATGATATGAATTCTTATACAAATTCAAGGGCTTCCTGCAGAGCTTCATACAAGAAAGCTCTTCTGAGCTGTACATCTGCAGGAGCACCAGCAATTTCAGTTTACTTGCACGTACAGTCCCAGTCCTGTGAAGACGTAAGACTTTGTTTAATCTTACGTGATGCAGACAGTCCCCTCTGACCTTATGTGCAGTGTGACTACTCAGATTGGAGTTGCTAGAGTTTAATGCTAGAACAGATCACCATCTAGTTCAGCATCCACCATTCTCTCCTCCTCTTCTGTAGCTAAGTCTCACTTGAGGAAGCTGGAAGTGTAGAGCACCTCACTGGAGCCAGCCCTCTGCTCCCACTTGCCCCTCCATCGCCCTGGCTGCAAGGCTGCCTTCTCCAGCCTCTGGGCAAGCTCTTAGGGCAGCCTCAGAGAGGCCATGCCTGGCTGAGAGCCACTACCCTGAGCCTGATGGGACCTTCCCATCTTGCTCACACATCAAGGGCAGGACTCTTCACTTCAACAAAGAGACTGACTCCTTATTTCAAGGAAGCATTTTGAAGAATATATTACATCAATAGGCAGTTTCGTCCAAGAAGTTATTATCCAATGAAAATCATTATTATTTTAGATACCAGAAATCATAGCAAGATGTCAAATCCCAAGCACTACATCTCACCACGTAAAGAAATATATGCTTTTGGAGAACCAGGTTAGAGACCTCTACTCAATCTTCCTATGCATTAAATCTACTCTGTGTCCTCCAGCAGCCTCACCAGCGCTTAGTTTCCTTCACAAATTTGTGGAGCACTGACTAAATTTTTGGTGAACCAGTTACGAAGTGCCAAATAAAATGGAAGAAAAGGATATCTGTCTATAACTGGGAACAATAAGTATCAGCTGTTATGCAC